ATTTCCTAAAGTGGGTTAAAAAACCTGTCCATGAAGCATTTCTAGTGGTCGGTTAAATCAGGATTTAAAAAGTTTATTCATGAATCATTTCTCGTGATCTGTTAATTTTTTAAACTTAACTAGAGTTTTGAGTTCATGGAATTAGATATTTTGATATTGGTTTTGTATATTTGATTTGGTTTTAAACAAGAAATATGTTAACATGGATTTATTTCTTAAAATGTTACGTATGTTACGAATAAATTGGCACTGAGTTTGTTTGTTTGTAATTAAGCTCAAAGCTACACAATGGGCTATCTGTGCTCTGCCCACCACGGGAATCGAAAGCCAGTTTCTAGCCTTGTAAGTCCGCAGACATACCTCTGTGCCACTGGAGGGGCTAGGAGAGAGAGGTAGGTATCCATCTCACGTCTTACAGGAAGTGTTTGGTTCTTCTAAGAAACTGAAGTACAAAAAAACAAAAAACCTGCGAATCCAAATTTAGCTAACTAATCGGCGTAATCCATCTAGTCTTATTAGACTAAATATAAAAGAGGTTTATTTTATCCAAAGCTTTCAGACCGATGGATATTATTCTTCAGATATTCTAACCTGTAATAAAACACTTGAAACAAGTTAACATTATTTTAATTTTCGAGTTTAAAATGTTGCTACAGACATGAAAGAAAATAAACACAGTGTCATATATATAATCTTACAATTAAAATAAACACAGTGTTATATATAATCTTACAATTTTATTGTCGTGAAATTGCTTCGATTACTTCCAAATAACGAAAAATATAATGTTAATTTCTACTGAATGAACGTGATGGCATAATATAATGCAAAACTAAGAATTTACGTCGACAATTGCAATAAAAAACACACGAAAAGAACAGCTTAAATAACGTGATTATAGTAATGGGTCCTCAAAATTTCTAAATATATCCATTCTAGAAAAAATGATATATAAAATTAAACGTTTTCTGAAAAGGAATCATACATTACATTTTCTCAGCCTGAGAGCTTTACTGTACGCAATAAACGAATGTTAATAAAAAAAAAGATAGTAAACAAACTGACCAATGGTTTAATCTCTTTAAAAAGGCTTAGTGCTAAAGTGTTATCTTCCCATGTTAAAACAAGGTTATGTAATAACACAGCTTATGTCGGATCCTGCCCATGTTAAAACTAATCCCATTAGGACAAGGCTGTAAACTAACACATTATATCGGATTCTCCCGTGTTAAAACTAATCAACCCCTTTTCTTAGATATTTTTATTTATTCAATAATATAAGATAATTTCTGTAATATTTTAAAACATGTAAAAATCCATTGCTAATATGTTTTGTTCTGCAGAATTCAAATGACCCTTAAATTAAAGTCACGAAAAACTAGAAATAAAAGTACTGTGAAATTAAAAACTGTTTCTACTTGAGTAATATTAAAACTGAAAACAACAATAATCGAAATAAAATTTTAACCAAAAAATGTCCATTTGTTCGAAAATGTATTTTTGCACTATTAACATTTTATAACACGATAAATGTCTAAAATTATAAACACTCAATAAAATGGAGACGTTTTCTTCAAATCATTTTTGTCCCAGTTGACAGTTAGTTACCTGTACTCTCAAAATCAGATGTAGCGTGGTAACTAGCTAATACACCATGATGTTTAAGTTCTTAATGAGAGTAGAAGTGCTAGGGACACCACGTGGTGTAAGAACGAGACTTCTAGACTTGTACTCTATTTATCCTTTCTTAGGGTGTAAACGCCTTTTACAAGCTGACGAAGCATGGTTACAGCCAATTATATTAGCCATAAGACATTAGTATTATATTTATTGTATTTTTAAATACAACATTTTTTATCTAGTCCCTTAAGGATTTTCAATAATTAGAAAAGTGTATAAAAATAGTATTCCAATCACACTATATTCGCCATATCCATTGTCTACGACGCATTTCGCTGAATCCAGAGCTCATCAGTTGGGCCAATAACCGACATGCGTGTGTCATCGGCAATGGATATGTCAAATATAATGTGATTGAAAATCCTTAAGGGACTAGATAAACGTAGTATTTAAAATATATATAATAGGCTTAATATTAATGGTTATTTAACCTAGGTTCAAATACAGGGTGGACTATATTATGGTACAATAGATCATTACGATACTATTCGCATTGTTATAAGATCCCATTTAGTACGTAGTTCTTAATGAATTTAGTATCACCCTTCTTCATATACACATGTATATATATATATATATATATATTTCAATTAGAAGGTCAAAATACATAACAGTTTCTAACCCCTTTTTGAAAATAACAATGTTCTTGTTACTATGAAACTAAATGCGTATATGTTGGAGAAAAATGAATATCCTAAAAGTTAAGTATGGAGACTCATGAGAAAATAGTATCGTTGGTAAGCTAATACAACTGCAATGAATATTTGTTAAAAAAATAAAAGAACGATTCTTATTCACAAGAAGTTCAGTGGCGGGAAGCTTCATTGAAACATATAAAAAAAGTTAAATACAATTATACATTTATAAGTATTTGAACGTTATGCTAGAAAGTTCGTGATTATTTAACCAACCATCTGCTGTTGAGAAGGTTCATTCTAGAATGAACTTCTCCAGCGCATAACTCCAAGCTGTGATGGCTGCAATTCTGTCAAAATACTGTATCTTGGCTCCGTATAAAATGTATCTAAAGACGTCTTTCATGCAACTTTAAACGTTAGAAAACAACAACATAACAACTAAATTCTCGAGAATTTCACAAACGTGTGCATATACAAGAACTGACAATAAAGAACTATTAACTACTTACAATTGTTATATAACACACAAGTGTTGCTATTGTTCACAGTTACCAAATCAAAATTTGCTTTCGTAATATGATCCGTATACAGTTTCGAATCAATTGCATGTGATATACAAATGTTTATTTTGGTGAGACTAATCTCGATGAAAGATTCATCACACTACTGTTAAACTATTACCTTAAATATCCGATTTAGAGAAAACACCAAATTCAAAACCTAAATATTTGTGTTATTAAATACTACATAAAAACAATATGCATTACATACAGCATATAGAAAATTGTTAGTTTCTGATGGAAGCTAACAAAACAATGATTGTAACATGTGAAAAATTTTATACAATAATCTGCAGAGTGTTCTATTAATAGCCTACATTTTCGCTGTAAATGTTTTCATATCCTTAAACAACAAATACCCGATTCTATTCTTTAAATAGTTGTTATATATGGCAGCACAACAAATCTAGTTGAACAGTGACCCGGTAAGAACGATAATTTTATCCAGTAGACAATGAGCACACCCACACATGAAGCCTTGAACCATGAGGTGAGGAACAGATCCTAAAAAAAGATGTGGCCTTTTTTTTTTTTGTAGTAATAGATATACCAGGATGTTTTCTTACTTGTCTCAAATTGCCGGTTCTGTAAAGTAAAAATGAAAATTTATTTAAAACAACAATAACATGGAAATTAATAATATTTAGAACATTAATACAGATGAAAAAAACCATGAACTGCCATATCTGAAACTTAATTTTTTTTTTTAATGATGATTGGTGGTAATTCTTTTTGTCGTTAAATTTGATTTCGCCCTCTGTTACCTACTGACAAAATTATACAAATAAACGAAAAATATAAATTCAAATTATAAAAGAGTTTAAACTCAATAAATAGGCAAAAGGTAAAGATAATAATATCGTTCATATATTAAAACTAATTCATTAAAAATTAGAAACTGGTCATCTCAGTACTAAGAGAAAATCTTCATTTTAAAAGAAAAACTATTTAGTGATACTTTTATTGAAAACAAGAAAGGAATCCCAACCCACTGTGTTTTGAACGTTTACAGTATTGTCTGTTTGTTTGTTTTGAATTTCGCGCAAAGCTACACGAGGGCTATCTGGGCTAGCCGTCCCTAATTTAGCAGTGTAAGACTAGAGGGAAGGAAGCCAGTCATCACCGTCCACCGCCAACTCTTGGGCTACTCTTTTACCAACGAATAGTGGGATTGACCGTCACTTTATAACGCCCCCACGGCTGAAAGGGCGAGCATGTTCGGTGGGACGGGGATTCGAACCCGCAGATTGCGAGTCGAGCTCCCTAACAACCTGGCCATGCCGGGCCCACGTTGACACTAACCAACCTAAAATATACGCCACACAATTCCTCAGCCTGAACAATTTGGCCTAGGCGCCAAGATCCCTTCTCTATCTAAATTCGTTCTCGACTTTTTGACCGTTTTTCTAAATCCCAATTTACTACTGTTATATTGAAAGTGGTCGATTTTCAGTGTGAACTTGACCTTAGAGTTACATTCATCAAAAAATGAATGATTAGTTTCATGAGGGACATTTAACCTTTGCGTCAAATGTGATCAAAGCTAGAGGAAAACCTTTATATTATTCACACACAAGAAGGAGTGAAAACAACACCTCCGCTGTTTGGCGAAGATAGAAATAAAATAAAATATTTTCTAGATGTGAATTTTAAAGAGTTAAACATTTCCTAAAATCTAGAGATGCTAGCAAGCATTCTTATCGATTTACACTTCCAGGATGTACCTTGTGTTTATGACTTTCTTTTCTAAAGTTTTCAATTTTCCTTACCGGAAATTAGAAGCCATAAGAAACAATACAACTATCATAACAATAATATAAAAAGAAAATCACGAATCATTCTTATCCCTTATAAACCTTGTGCTTTGTTTAGAGTATGTGTTTTAAGATTTTCTTGCCAAACTACATTAGGGTTATCATCTAATAGCCGTTCCTAATCTAGAACAGATAAACTAGAGAAAAAGCTAATAATTCAACAGTTCCCAGTGCCAACTTTTAGGCTACTCTTGTCTGACCAAATAGTGGGATTTGACCGTTAGTATTCAAACACGTTCTCAAAAGAATGAATTCGAGGGGTTCGTACGATTCCCCTTTCCGTGAACCATACCTTCCAAGTTGCCTAAATGAGCGATTAATTAAATGAATGTTAGCTTTGCTTATACATCATTTTAACACATACATATTAGTGTACTTAAGGGAGCATCTGTATAACACATGTGAGGCGGTGAGGACTGGAGCTGTTAAAAGTTGATATCTTGCCTTGTGTAATCACTTACGTAACAAATTACGACACATTTTATAACCACATCCCTAAACTTTCACAACAGATGTAACACATTCTCACATGACAGAGGGATATATAGAGTCACCTTGTCCCCCCTCCCCATAAATGCTAGATGCTAAGGGGATATAGGATTAAGGGACTTTCTGTACAATAGTAAGCAACTTTCAACCAAGCAGAAACTAAAATAGAGGTAGTTACAGATGTTTTGCTATGAAAATACTCAAAAACTTGTCCAGATTGGTAGTAACAGCCTTTAAGTATTGAAAGTTTAACCAATACATGACACTTGCATATTACTCTGTACAACTTGATATGTTTTTATGCATATGAAGCGTGTTCTGTACTTAATTATACACGCACACACATATATATACACACACTTGATATGAGACAAGTATTTTCATTGTTAGAGCCAATAAAAACTGCAAACTGGGATCAAATTCAAATCCATATCACAACATTGTTCCCCTATCCGCTAACCCGGTCAAATACTGATTAATGTATAATGCTTACAAAATCTAAGGAAATAACGTTATTTAGCTTACTTAAGCAGTATGACGTATAATTTAGTGGACTTTAATAATATCAAATATGGTTCAATAAAGCAGCTGATAAAAGCAGCAACTTGCAAAGTTATATCTCAAGCCGAATCTTTATCAATAAATATTGTTTAGATTTTCCTTTTTAAAAACAAAATACAGAGTTTCGTGAAGCATGTATCTTTGGTTAATAATTTGAAATACTGTCTCTTGAGGGGGCTGTGGTCCCCAAACCCTTTGACTGCTATGGGTGATTCCTCTCCAGAGGCTTAGCCCGTGGGGGCCCACGTGGGCCTGCCCCCCCCCCCCTGAAAAAATCTAGGCATATTTATCACATATTATTTTTCAATTTTTATATATAATAAACTCGTTTTGTATCATTTAATACAGAAAAATAAAACTTCTATAAACACTATTAGATTTGATCTGGTTTGTTTTAATGACCATTTTGTTAAAAACTTAGATCACTTTCAGCATTTTAATTTATTGGCCCCCTTATAATTTTCTGCTTCCTCCCCCTAAGTAGAAAACCCAGCTACGCCACTGCCCCCTCTATAAAAAGCTGGGAACGCCCCTAGTTTATAGCCCACTCACGGTCTTATTTAAAGTGCTGAGTGTGTTTGTTCAGACATAAGTTGCGAATCATGGATTTACAGTCCTTGTATATTGACTACCAGATCACCACTAAACCATTTCTGGCTACCCGTGTTTTGAAAATACTTTGACCGCTGAATGATATTTAATTTTTTTTGTCTAAAATAACAATTAAACATATCCGTTTGTTTTAAGAATTCTTAGAATTTTTTCCTGTTCATCTTGTTTAGTAAGAAGCGATCATGTTGTATCTACTAAAGTTTATTTTAGTTTGTCGTTTGAAACACTTCATACAAGCACTGTTTTGAAAGACGAAATGAGCAAGGTTATATAATAAACTAACAACAGAGTGCTTATTTGATCAAACTTTACCAAACGTAAGGATGTAATGTTCAGCCAACTCAGCATGTTATAAACACTTACAAACTTAAAACTAATAGTTTATTTAGGAATGTCGCTTTATATATATATTCCATGCTTCAACAATCTACAGTTATGTGATCGTGTTTGATACAAATTTCTCAGATGTCAAATTAACAACTTCAAATAAACACATACAACAGTCAATTTTAAACAGGAAGGAATAAACTTTACGTGTTCTGAAAATATGATATCAAAAAATAACAACGAATACAACAATACTCTAAGTCATAGAGATAACAATTACATAAAGTACTAAGAAATACAACAATACTCTAAGTCATAGAGATAACAATTACAGTAAATACTAAGAAATATAACAATACTCTAAGTCATAGAGATAACAATTACAGAAAGTACTAAGAAATACAACAATACTCTAAGTCACAGAGATAACAATACAGAAAAGTACTAAGAAATACAACAATACTCTAAGTCACAGAGATAACAATACAGATAAGTACTAAGAAATAGAACAATTTTTAAATCACAGAGGTAACAGTTGGAGGTAGAAAACATTGTACTTAGATTTCCTTTTAACTTTTTTTTTGTGTGATGAAATGTTATATTTATTTCAATGTTGTTTTATTTCTAAAGCATGTTCTATTTCACATTATTTTATTTCTGTGGCACTAGATACGGATAGTGGAAATCTCAGTGGTGAACTTTCAACCATAGTCTAGACAATTTATTAGGATAATTGAAGTTTGACATAGCAACTGTTTACGGAATACTGATAAATAACTTTGCTTGTATTAGACTTTTTTATTGATTCTATGGATTTACAGGCTTAGTGAACTGCAAAATGACATTAAATTTGAAAAGCCTCGTTTTTTCAAAAGATATATAAAATTAAAAACGACAAATAAAGTTAACAAAAACATAAAGCTACTTAGAACTTCTTATCTAAATGGTGATGTTATTTAGTATAACTATTTTTTACTAACCAACAATGGTATGCACAAATCTACAGTGCGGAAGGAGAGAGAGCCTTCCTTAGCTATCTCTATCGACAGAACTCGGAAAAACCGTGGAGAAAACGGCTTTATAAAGCCGAGGTACCAGGTCTTGTATTGCGCAATATGTGCGGTAACTACAGTATTCGTGTAAAATTTTGGATGGAGTAATGGGCTTTACCCCCTCATAACCTGGAACCTAGTGCGAATTGCAGATATCGTAAAGAGTATAAATCACTATCCAGAATTTGAAAGAAAAAATAATAATACCAGATAGGTATATGTTGGAATTAGCCCATCAAACATATCTTCCTAACTCGCAGAATGGGTGTTAAAAGTTTTAAAAAAGAAATTACTCAAATTACTGGGACATGGAGCACTTCCCTCCTGCTTGGGAAAACTTTCATTGCCATCGTTTAACGGTTACCACCTTTGGCTTATTGGGGGCTACGACATGCTGTTACCATAAGCCTAATTGTTAATAATTGGTTGTTATATTGTAGAACACTTTCTGGAAGATGTGTGAGCGGCGATTATGTACTGAAGCCTTTTCCGATCTTTTATACAAAACTATTTCTTGCTAAATTGCCATATTTCTAACAAAAATAAAGCTGAGTCTGTAGAACAATGTGAGGAATAAAGTAAAAAAAAAAAAAAAAAAAAAAAAAAAGGTGAAAGAAATATCATAGGTTTGGTACTAAAGCAGATGTTTGGTCCAACCGATCATCAACCGCCTGCATTAGGTCACAAACGTCCAGCCCTATGTATTGATATATTACATGGATAGAGTTAACTGTATCCTGTTTATCATGATATCGCACTGACAGTTGACAAAAGTCAACAATACAGTTCACTTTAGAGTCATGGTGAGTATTTTTATCCACACCAGACAAACCGAACTAAGGCACAGGAACTAACCTATAATCTTACAAAATGAAACCAAATTAAAGTTTGTTTGTTTTGAATTTCGCGCAAAGCTACACGAGGGCTATCTGCGCTAGCCGTCCCTAATTTAACAGTGTAAGAGTAGAGGGAAGGCAGCTAGTCATCACCACCCACCGCCAACTCTTGGGCTACTCTTTTACTAACGAATAGTGGGATTGACCGTTACATTATAACGCCCCCACGACTAAAGGGCGAGTATGTTTGGTGTGACGGGGATTCGTAGATTGCGAGTCGAGAGCCCTAACCACCTGGCCATGATGGACCTCCAAATTAAAGAGTCATTGTTATACAGAAGGCTAATCACACTTTATCTAAATGGTGTTCCGTTTCGCGTGTTGATCTTGTAACTATTTCTTCCATCGTCGGTCGAGCTTGGTCTGTTTCCACTGTAAATAGCTTCTGCGAGGACGACAAGATCGGACATCCACCAAAAATATAAAAGTCCATTCGAGAGGTACCAAGATGTTGGACGAATATTCCAGTTTCTTCAGCCTTTTTTTCTCGTGAAAACAGCTAGTAGCTTGTGTGCGTTTTTCAACTTCAAGTTCCTGCTTATTATCTGATTTAAGGTATTATAAGATATGCTCAGCTTCATTGTAATAGCTTTTTTTTTTTTTGGAAGTCAGGGGTCGAAAGGTTCTCTTTTCCTAAAATATAACCTTCATGAAAATCTTGCTTCTGTTTGACTTAGAGTGTGGTATCAGACCCTTTTCTCTCGTAAATATCAGCCGAACAGTGAACATTCCTTCCACTTCCCTTTCTTCGGAATAATGTGCCCATTGGCTCTATCATTTAGTATTTTACAATTTTCAATTATATATACAGATGCAATATCGGACGTCCCTAGCACAGAGCTCGCGTGAGTTTCGAGGCCTAGATACATTAATATTTCCGGAACATTTTACTCACCTGCATTGTCCTTCAGGCATTCTACGTATTCTCGTTCTTTCCTGTCTCTTTATTCATGTACAAAATTAAATCATGGGCATTATATTCTTATCCATACCTAGGTTCCAGTGCAACACAGGCGGATTCTTTAAGTGCATGCTTATGCAAGATTAACATTTTTTTCCCTACTCATTCCTTAAAAAGAAAGAAACATCTCCCAAAACCACCTCGTTTTAGACGTGATGTTTATCTTCTTACGAAACTGATGTGAAAAACATCACTTAAAATTTAACTTAAATATCCCAAAGCACTTTCACGTTCGACACAAACACACACAAGATAAATTATCAGCAATAGAGTAAAAATAAAAGTAATTATAAACTGAAACTTATATAATTTTTATTCCAATGTTTTTGGAAGTATGGAACGAAGTATTCTTACTTCGTTCCAAAACCTTCCTTAAACGTACGTACTCGGTAGGGGGTGTTGGACTCCACTGACGTCACAGTCCTGGTGAGCATCAGGGCTGAAAGGTACGTTCTTCGTTTCTTGGCCAACAACTGAACGTGATGTTAACGGAGGATGTCTAAAGGTGTTTAACTCGGGAGATACCTCAACAGTCTGAAGATCTAAGGTAGGAAAAGTTTCATCTTCGAACACGGCAGAATCGTTCTCTCTCATATTCGGATTTAACTCTTCTATGTAGGGAAAAGGAGACTGGAGCGACGTTGTGTTGGTGGAATGAAGTCCTGAAAATTATTCCAAATCTCAAGATCTTTACGAACATTAAATATCACCTTAACTACTACATCCGGGGATAAATAAGCAATTTATTCAAAGAAAATAAAAAAGCGTCCGGGAAGAGCATTTCATGTTATAAACGTTCCGTGGAAATTAAATTTATTCGTTGTCATAACAACCTGAAACAGAGAAAAAGATCACAGCCAATATAAAGGATTTTGGAATTCATTCTGAATATGTCAGATGATAGACAAGCAATCTTTACCAAATTAGGTTTATCAGATATGGATACATTTCCTGTAACATTAGAAAATCCTTCCTGGTGTAAATGAGTATTGAGAATGTATTTCATTCAAAGTTGAAAAAGTAAATATTTGTTTATTCAAACTGTTCGAAAATATAAACAGTAAATGTTTTTGTTCAGGAGTCACACAGCTTCATAATAAAACATTTTGTAAGGAAATTATGTTTTAAAACCCGGGGTTCGATTTCCATCGGTAAACAGAGTGCAAATAGCACATTCTGTAGCTTTGTACTAAGAAAATAAAAAAATGGATTGTTTTTATGTCTCAACTGTGACCTTTCAAACGTATACAATGGCATTAATTTTCAAATTAGTCTCGAAACTGTTTGGATTGCCCTTTTATCAACTTTCGTATTTCTTTAACCGATCAACTAAGCATTCATTTAATTTCCTATAGTTCGTCTCTGAGTGACTTTACAAGTACCTCAACTAAAAATAAACCACTGAGTTCGTTAGCAGTTAAAAATCTATCTTTCTTTAACTCACCCTCTTCATCAGTGCAGTTTATATTGACGAAGAACAAGTTCGGATTGTGCCGTCCTTCGTAGGAATCTTCAACTTCAATTTTGAAACCGTAGTTCAAATCTGGCTTTTTCGACCAGATTTGAAAGAAATACGTAACGTCAAAGTTAATCCACCCTCGGTAGTTAGCTGCAATTATTCGTGAGTACAAATACGACTTGTTGTCTAAGAAGAAAAAAAAAGACCCGTAAAATTCAGTGTACTGACATTAATAACACAAACCTAACGAGGAAGGAAGGAAATATACAAGATTTTGATATTTTGAGAGATTAAATAAGTCATGTATATATATTTACGATATTTTTTGAAACTTCCAAACACTAATGTTCAAATATCTTAGAATGGCAGAATCCTCTTAATTTTAAATCATTTACTTCGTGTTTGATCAATGGTGGAAAGATTCCGCCGAGTCGTTTGTAACTCAAACTGTTCAGAATATTTAATCTTAAAAATAGCACATGCTCATAATAAATAATAATAAGTAATAAATTTAAAGTAGAGTATAGTATTAGAATATTTTTTTTTCACTGTCCAAAGAAACTAGTGTTATTGTTTTTATGTTTGTAGCAAAGTTTCGTTCTGGTTTTTAGTTTCATAAATTAATAGATCATAATTGTTTTTTACTAATAATATGACATAACAATCTCGTTTCATTGATAGAATATATATTGACAGATTTAACGTTTTTTTTCCAGTCTAACACGTGTTCAATAAATTGTAATATATAATAAGTTTTCTCACGAGGCGGGAAACATAGTCTAATGATGAACAATTACCACCACAGAAGTGACGAATAACAACATATTTAATGAACGTTTCGGAATAAATACATTCCATCTAGAGCACATTCCTACAGTAAACACAAAACTATAATTAAAAATCATTACCTGAATGTCAAACAAAAACTTATGTACTACGACAAACATTTGTAAGGGCAATGTTGAGACACCTTTGAGTCTCCCCCCCCCTCCATTTACAGTTACAACTCTAGAGTTATTTCTAGTTATTAAAAACCCTCTTTGGTTATTTTGGGTGAAATAAAGATGAAAGGTTTCGAGAATATAATTTATCTTAAGGGGTAAAGCAAACAAGTGTAAGGCGTAGTTATATCCATTTATAATGGTAGACGTCATTGTAACACGTGGCAAACTCAAATTACGTTTTTCTTTTCTTTTTGTTTTTTACAACAAACATAGTTAATTCTACAACGATACTAAGAGATACTATAACTGCGATGTTGTAAAGAAAGATTCTTTGCAATCGATATTAATCTGAGAAAAATGACCGAGCTATTACCATCGAGGTCAAGCTTCCTAAGACAGAGAGTCAGTGATAATACAAGAATAAAACAATTAATTTTTTTTGTGTGTTTTGCGAATTCTAACATTTGTTTTTCGTTCTTTTTACTATGCGGATCGTTTTGCCACAGTTAGCTTAACATATGGATTTGAACTAAATCTCTTAATTTCGCCAAACCTCGTGGGATATTATAGGGATTACGGCCGAAAATGCATCTTAAAAGTGAGGAACCGAACTAAAACATTAGTGTATTCTAATCGTTATATAATTTTTGTTGTTGTTGGTTTATGCTATTACATGGGTCGAGTGAGGCTCAGTAGTTAGCATGCCGGAGAATGAATCCAAAGTTCTATGGTTCGTGTCCCGTTACCACAAAAAAACAAAACAAAAAAACACGCTCCACTCATTTGTGGCCGTAGGTGCGTTATCAGAGTAACGGTCAAATCCCACTATTCGATTAGAGTAGCCCAAGAGTTGGCGGTTGGTGATGTTGTCTAGTTTCCTTCCGTCTAGTCTGTCACTAAACTGGATTAGGGACGGCTAGCATGGATAGCCCTCGTGTAGCTTTGTACGATATTCTACCGCGAAACTGGCATTGCGAACTATTAATTAGACCACTTCTGGGCTAATTTCTACGTTTTATCTATGCAGGTAACTTGCTTTGATCAGAAGTTAATGATCAAATAACACCTGAGAACTACTGTGAAGAACCATGAAAACTACAGTGTTGGCAGGGGCGGATTAAGGGTCAGACGAGGGTCTGGGGTTACATTTTTCTACCGGGCCTAAAACCTAAGATAAAAAGAAAGCTAAACCTCATAATGAGCCCTTTTTTTAGCCCAGGCGTGGGGCTACAGCCCCAATAGCCCCCGCCTCAACTCGCCCCTGATTGTTAGTAAGACTTGTTTGCCGCTGATATTACATTTAGTGAGTCAATAGTAGTAAGTTTTAGAACCCTGAGAGAATATGGCGATATCGGTGGTCGTAATATCATTGATCTATAGAAGTGATACAAATTTCGGCTAAACAACTACAGAGAAAACATATTTTGCGTTTCATCAAAAGATTAACGATAGATCTCTAGACCTATATTCTTTCGGGAGCGAGTTTTTTTAGAGTATCAGCCACTTCGCCCGGTTAAATTCTTTTCACATGCTCATGCTGGGAGGAAGTGGTAAGTGTTAAACGTCTCGTGAGATTAAAATGGTGCAGCGGAAGTGATAGCTCGCACCTTCCCACATCATCAAGGCCAACAAAAGAAAGTCGAAACAATCAACTACTGGGCTACGATAAGACTTTGTAATAGATGACGACACAGCATGGAATTCAATGTCAAGGTCATGTGTGTCATCACTTAATTTAAAATTCCAGCAGTAAAGAGCTCCGACAACAGCAACCGACTAGAATAGAATAACATACATAAAACATTCTGGCTATCTAACTACTGACGGATATTTAGATACAGATAAATAGGTGGCGAAGACTTCTTAAATACTGTAACGATCGTTGGTCAGCGGTAAGATTACGACTTACAACTCTAAAAATCCGGGGTTTGATCCCCCCGTGAACTTTCGCTCTTCATCCGAAATACATTTTCAAAAAAATATTTCAGTTCTTTAGCAACTGGATTTTTGACAGGCCTTTTAATAGCGCTTGTATCCGCTTTTAACGTAGAACAATCGAAGCAACACATTGAGAGTTACTTACAAACTTTACGTTCTCTTCAACAGAATCGCAGGGGAAACGTTCATTACGATCATTAGATAAACGTACATTTCACTGCCTTCGATTTATCTATTTTTAATGATAAATGTTGATCTGTACTAACAGGCTGAGTTAGTTAACGTTTATGGTAGACTACGTTGTTTTTCTTATGTTTCACGTTATTCAACGACTTGACATTTTGTAAATAAACACTAAGTTTACAAGTGTTACAAAAAAGCAAGGAATGAAATACAAAATCTTGGAAACTAGTTTGTTTGTTTATTCAACAAAAATGCTACACAATGGGTTATCTGTGCTGTGCCCACCACGGGGATCGAAAGCGGGTTTTTAGCGTTGTGAGCCTTCAGACTTACCGCTGAGTTACTATGGGTTATCTTGGAACCAAAAGCACATTTCTGCTGACACATTTATTGCCCCAGTCTGAAAATTGTTGCGATCATGTGTCCAAATAACGTGATAAATAGGGAAGTCTAAAACTATTATTATTTTAATAAATCTAACACTTTTGGGTTTTGCATATGACCCTGGTCAATAATTACACTTTGCACTTTGTGTAAAAACAAACAAACAATTTTCATGTAAGTTTTAAACATTGTTGCACTTCCTAAACAATATATTTACTCCTAACTAAGCATATATCTACAATCTATAATAATAAAAGGGCGTGTCTGTAGGTGACCGCCACAGCTTTAAGAGGAAAGAACTTAGAAATATGAAATTTTGCAGACATACTAAGTGAACCCTGAGGGTGTGCACCTGGGTATTATGCTTATCCACGTGCGTGCGCATCTTTTTGTGTGGTAAGCTAGTGAAAAACCACACAGAAAAGAATATGTGACCGCCATAGCTCAAAGAAGAAAGAACCTAGAAACCTGAAATTTTGCACCCATACTAAGTGGACCCTGAAGATGTGCTCCTGGGTATTACCTATTCACGTGCGCGTTTAATGAGGCAAGCTAGCGAAAAAAATGGGTTCAGAATACACATACTATCAACCTAATAACTCGAGCGAAGCCGGGTACTTTCGTGTCAATAATTAGTATGTATTTGATAAGTGGATAAATCATCTTTCTTTATAACACACATACGACAATGGCCATACTTACAAACTTTTACATGTGATGAAAAGGCTATCTTTCTCGATTTTTATCTGACACAGATATAAACTAAGATCCAAAATACTAACCCCGATAAAAATGTTCACTAGTCTATCAGAATTTTAGAATAAGATCCTTTATAGATAATGAATCATGCGTTATTTTTATGTTTTAACTAAACGATTGTTTCGCGGTCACATTGTTTACCGTCACCAATTCCCGTATGATTTTTTTTTTTACTCGAGATGTAACTTATTTGTAAAAATTGCGATCGAAGACATTAATAATATTTTTTAGAAGATAACGAAATGTTGATTGCTCATGTTTTGTCCCTGAGTTATTTATCTTGATATTTCTATCAAATGAAGGACTCTTAACGGTAGTGTGTCGTGCGGCCAAAGCAACCCGCAGGACACACCGTATGTTATTAACTGAGTGATAGTTTAACGATTTTCCACTTTCTGTAGCTCGGACTGTGGTAATCCAATCTATCACATATTTTTAGTGGGTGTTCTCTACTGAATTCTTACTTCACTTACCAAATTTCAAGACAATCCGTTAAGAAATACACGAGATATAAAATCTTCAATTCTAATTTAATTTTTTCCTATTTTTTCTTTACACCGAAAGCACGGAAACATTATTTGATAGAAAAATATACTTAACTTTTATGGATTTTTTTTCACGTTCTACACACTGAGATATCCTTAAAAACTATAATTAGGTGTCAAATGTGGTTTAAATATAAGCCATCTGTGCATGTATGTGTGTTTTGAATTTCGCGCAGTGTAATTTAGCAGTGTAAGACTAGAAGGAAGGCAGCTAGTCATCACCACCCACC